ACCATTTCTGGCCAGCAACTTTCAGCGTCATTAAGCCGCTGCGCCACCGCGTCCCCCTCAACTCACTTTACAACATACTAAAGATGGCAGCATTTTAGACAGCACCACCGATTGGCCCAGACAGCTCATCTAAGAACAGGAAATGCAGTGTCTAACAAGCAGGGAATGATATTAAAACCAGGTCTCACAGCCAACAGAGAACATATATTCATTCTCCTCCTAGCCAGGACCAGATGGCTCCCAAGCTTGCTTCTTGCTTTTGCACATAAAATTCTTAACTATATAGCTTGTAAAGAAAAGGTACTATCCTTCTTGGATCAGATGGTAAACCATTTTTTGTAAAGTTGCATGTGTAACTGTGAAAAACTTAATCTTAGTCAATTGTGAAAAAATTAATCTTAGAAAATTAATTGACAATGAATTGATTGATTTCAAAGGAACAATGACAACAAAAGATTTTACCTGCCACTTCAACAGCACAGACTTTTTTCCCCCTGGTTGTTTTCTGAAAAAAAAAAAAAAATTGTGTCAATCATATTTCCTTTTCCAATGACCACAGAATGGGAACAAAAGCAGCTATTAATGCCAATTTGTGCAAATCAGTTTTGATTCCATTGAACTGGAGATCTGAGATTCAAAGAAGGCCTGATTCAATTTGTGTTTGAAGTCGGAGCACAAGCTAGGTCAATTTAAGCTGCTTTGAGAATTTTGAAAAACGATTCATCCTTTAGCTATCATGAGGAAGCATCAATATGCTTGCAGCATTTTGACAGCAGAAGGGAATGAGAACAGCAGGGATGGTTCATTCTTCAGGGGACAATAACCCTGTAAAATTCTAATGGATACTTTCAAGGGTTCACCATAGCGATTGTTTGAAATATTTCCTTGCAACTTTTAAGGCTGAAACAGCAGGGATGGACAGCACAGTAGCCTCAGAACTGTCGAACAAAGGGCATAATCTGGATGGGGTGCAACAGGCTTCAGCTGAACCCTGGTAAGGTGGAGTGGCTGTGGATTGGAGGTCCCTCTCTATCCAAGAATTTACCACCTTTGGTTCTGGACGGGTTGCACTGCCCCAGACAGACCCGATGTGTAATCTGGGGGTCCTCCGGGACTCACGACTCCTGCTCAAGGAGCAGGTGGCAGTCATGGCCAGGAGGGCCTTTGCCCACCTTCGTGTGGTGTGCCAGTTATGCCCCTTCCTAGATTGGGAGGCTCTCTGGCCACTCACTCATGTCCTGGACCTGGTTAGACTACTGCAATGCGCTCTACATGGGGCTACCCTTGAAGAGTATCCGGAAGCTACAGCTGGTTCAAAATGCAGCCGCATAGACCATCTTGGGTGCCTTTGCTGCCAGAGCTGCATTGGGTGCCAGTTTGCTTCCAGGTCCAATTCAAGGTGTTGGTTATCACTTTTAAAGCCCTACATGGCATGAGTCCAGGTTACCTGAGGGACTGTCTCATCCCCATTACATCAACCTGTCCCACCCAGTCAGGCAGAGAAGGCACGCTGCAGACCCCGTCAGAGAGAGATGGTCAGCTGGCGGGGTCCAGGAGGAGAGCCTTCTCTGCCGTTGCCCCCGCCCTTTGGAATATTCTCCCCCCAGAGGTGTGTCAGGCCCCTATCCTCCTGGTTTTCCAGAAAGGACTTAAAACCTGGCTCTGCCAGCTTGCATGAGGCAATAAGAGTTTTCATCAATCCTTGGGGTGGCTGGCGCCCTGATGTCATTCCTGAGTTATTTGCCAATTCCATTGTTCTTGGAATTTATTTATTTTTAAAATTGTTTTTATATTGTATTTTAATTAATCTTACCCCCTTTGTAAACCACCCAGAGTCACTTTTCAATGAGATGGGTGGTGACAAATTAGATAGATAGATAGATAGATAGATAGATAGATAGATAGATAGATAGATAG